GGGGGCCAACGGATCATGTTCGATCAATATGATCTCCAACGACTACAGACAATACGTGTAGATAGACTCCTATATAGACCAGGACTTGAGTACCTGCTCAAGCCCTCTAGATAGTTCTTCAGCAATCAACTTGTGATTCATCCTCGAATGACTTTCAGCTTACCTCTCAGTATTGTGAATACTAAGAACCTCGTTACCATAGTGTAAGACTGATCACCTTACCCTAACCCTACGATCTACCAGAACGACCTCTACGAACCAGTGTTAGTCTCTTACTGCACCTTCTGTTAGCAGAACCCTACTGTCAGATAGCTGGCCGTAACACTTAAGAGCGATTATGCTAACGAGACTATCGATAGCAAGGCGCTAGCTAATAGACAACCTTACTACTAAAGTAGAAGAACTTACTACTTTACTAATACTATTACTAACGATAAGTAGGTTTACGATTATCCTGTAGTTAAAACCTAAAAGAACTATACTAATAGGAAAGACTAATTCCCTTACTACCTTGCTACTACCCTTAACCTTAAGTCTCTTCTAAGCCTCCTCCTCTTACTTAAAAGGGATCGGAAGGTCGCGCTTAGTCGAGCAAGGTTTTAAAAGACTACTATATTAGAAATAGAAAGGTAAAAGAAATAGATACTAAATATACTTTTTAAAATATATTTTAACTACCTTAGAAGCAAGGAATTAATAAGCAAATAGTAACGCTATATAAGAAAGAAGATAGCAAAAGGTCTTCCCCTTCTTATAATAAGTATATTTAGTTATACTACTAACGTAGTAATTACCGAGAAAGACCTGTTTAGTATATTATAAATATACCGATCGTAAGGCTTTTTTCTTAGTAGCTATAGCTTTGCCTCCTCCTCCTCCTCCTCTTTAGCCTCGGTAGCCTTACTTTTTCCTTTCTTAGTTATAAAAACGAAGTTAGAAATATAATATCGAATAGAAAATAGCGTAAATAATATCGATATATAAAAAGCTGCTTTAGTAGGCTTCTTCTTCTTCTTTTTAACTACTAAATTAAAACTATTAATACCTTTACCTACGAAATAATAAGGGAAGCAAAACTTACAAGTCTTAGGCTTAGGTTTAGGCTTAGGACCTGAAGGAGGGACGTTATCTTATCCTCTATCGCCTTCCCCTCCCTCCTCGCCCTCGACCTCCGACGCCTTGCGCTTTTTAGCCTTGCAGGCTGTTATAGCGGCGGCGCGAGCCGCGGCGGTTATAGCTACGCGCTCGGCCTTAGTCTTCTTAGGAGGCATTATAATTAATTAGTTTCTATTAATATGATTAGTAAACAATCGAAAACAAGTAGCTAACTACGCGCGCGGTCGTATAAATAGCGTTAATAAGCGATTTTAGCGATTTATATATATATTTATTATAACGTACATGATAAGCGAGTGAGACAGACAAGCGAGTGAGACAGTAAACCAGACCTTCGCGACAATAATATCGAAATCTATAACAAGAAATCTTAGATTGATTAATACTACTCGGATTCCTGTTCTTCGGATGTTTCCTCAATAAATTGACATGTTCTCGCGTTGTGGCCTGTATTCCCGCATACGCCACACCGACGATGAGTCGTCTCAGACCTCACTTTGCGACCACTACTCCGTCGCGTTTCCTCTTGTAGTTGCGTGTCTGCCTCTCTTTGCGACTGTATATCCTCTCCAGTAGATATAGTAAGACTTCCTCCTTTCTGTAGACGTGTTTTCTTAGCCCTTCGACGCCGACTTAATATTGCATTCTCCTCTCGAAGGATTTGAACCTCTGACTCTAGTAATGCTACCCGATGCCCTAGTCCTTCTGTCCCTCTGGCTAGCTTACTCACAGCACTATAAATTGATGCTGGAGAGCTGCTTCGGTGGCGTGAGATTCGACTCTTAATAAAAGTAGACTGTGATCTTGCTTCGCTTGGGTTGCTCGGCGTCCTAGAGATCCAAGGGTCTGGTGTCTGAGGGACCCCCTCCTCAGGCGTTGGCGTTCGGAACTTTACATCCAGCTTTGAGAGAACACTTTCTGCATTCAAAGGGACAAGTCCAGCTCCTCGGAAACCTCCCTGGATATTTTTCCTCGTAAAAGACTGCTTAAAAGCTTCGTGAAATGCTGCAAAGAAATCTTCCTTCGAGATATGGGTTGTGCCTCGCCGCATCTTATTCTCAATTTGCCGACCGTAGGCATTCTTTAACGGCTGAAAACAACCAACATCTAAGGGTTGAAGTAGATGAGACGAGTGAGCCGGCATGCACAGTGTAATAATGTTGTTTTCTTGACAAAAGAGCTCGAAGGCTGCGGAGTGGTGACTTTCATGACCATCAACAACGAGGAGGCGATATTTCCCAGACGTACGTGGTTTTGTATAAATGTCGAAGTGTCTGATCCAGTCAATACCTCTCTCGTTTGTTGTCCATCCATTTTCAGACGTTGCAATAGCCCAATCGCCCGGAAGAGAGGTTTCTGTATACCAGCTTGAGAGGTGATACTGGCCTGCAACGATGATGTATGGCGGGATGCTCTCCCCTTGGGAATTAATAGCCTGGATAACTGTAACCCATTCCCTATTGCCAGGCTGTGTCATCTTCGTATTTGAACGCCTTTCAGCACTTGTAACAACCATTCCAGAAGCAATAACGCCCATCATAAAGCCGGTCTCATCAAAGTTGTAGATATCAGCATCAGCAATACCATACTTCGCAATTGTATTCTTCACAAGCGAAAACCAGCCACGAATCACCTCTGGATCTTCGCATTGAGCTCTCTTATAGTCATACTTGCGAAAGAAACGCGTCCTAAGCTGTGGTTGTCGCTTGACGAAATTAGAAGCCCAGCGCTTCCCAACTGGAGGCGCGTCGCGCTCTGCGAGAAGTCGATTGGCCATTTCTTCCACACCACTCAGCCGGGGAGGAAATGATCGCGCATCTAGGTCGAGAATATACTCAACTATTGTCTTCTCTTCTAAATCTGATAAATTCCGTGAATTAGGCATGCTGTCGCGTCGTGAGACTATTCCCTTTAGTCGCCGGCTTAATGTTGCGTGACTGACTGTATAGAGTGCACCTGCGGCCCGAGCACTAAGTTTTGGGTCATTTCTCATTGCTTGAAGGGCAATTTGTAACCTTCTTTCAATACTAGCTGATTCCATGATTTATTGTAGAGGAAAAGGTGCCGGTCGCGTCAAGGTGCGACGGTCGCGGTTTACTGTCTCACTCGCTTGTCTGTCTCACTCGCTTATCATGTACGTTAGTTATTAAGGAAAGAGAAAATTTCGTAAGTAGGTAGTAGAAGAATTTCCCTTAAGTATAATAATTCGCCTTAGGAAAGCAACTATGCTTATTAAACTATAGAAGGCAGGCATGCCCCTCGGTAGCATGCTTGCCTTACGATTACCTATAGCGATAGTATATAAAGGATAACTATTTTTCCTTTATATAACGCGTAATATATTTAATTATATCTCTTTTATTAATTCCTTTATTAGATTTATATTTAGAAATAGCTATTTTAGCTAATTCGTTACGAATTTAGTAATATAAGCAGTAGGACAATAGGGAGAATTAACTATATATAGACGTAGGCGCGTCTAGGGGGGTATGTCGTGATGCCTTCGAGGCGAAGTACATAGCCTTACCATCACGTAACCTATATATCGCCTATAGGGATAATCCCGAAATAGAATAACCGGAATATCTTTATTCCGCTTCGCCTACAAAACATATTTAGGCACGATATCGTTCCATAGTATAGTTAGGAGAAGACAAGCTACTCAATCTACTACTTTGAATACATGCCTACGTCTAGCACTTTGCTTCACCACATATTTCAGTAATAAAATACAAGAAAACTAATAAAATCCAGTCAAATTTTTTAAAAAACCAAAGCCCAAAAAACAGAGCAAAGCTAATGTCTAAGTTTACGTCCTACCTGAAATACCAAGCTTCGTCACCCTGCCTGCCGTCATCGCATATATTTTGAACCTTAAATACTTTATCTAGACAGAACTACTGGTGGCCAAATTTCATTGAGAAATATCTAGAAAGAAGCTGTAAAGTTTAAACAAATATGTTTAAGTCGGTGAAAGCTGTCTCAGTTGCCAAGGAATGAAACTCCAGCAACCTTCTGGTGATGATGGTCGTAGGAATTCACACGAGGAACCTTTAAATGCATCCAAGGTATCCTATGAGAAAGTAGTGCAAGATTTGTGCTACATGTTCCAGGAGGTGGTCTAATGACATAAATGAGGTTCGTCATCTACGGCGGAGGCTTTTTGGCTCCGTTGCCCCTCCTTCTGATCGATCCACCCGCTTGCATGAATTGATGGGCTTTGGACAGAATCCTTACAGTAGCAATAGTGAGTACAGCGGTCAATAAAACATAACAGCGGTTGAACAACTTTAGAGTTTCGCGATAAATCCGCAGAGATCTACTTCCAACAAAGCGTGGCTCACAAGAAGCTCAGCTGTTAGGCCGCCCTCCAACTGCCTCGAGATTTCATTTCCCATAACTAAAGAACAACTCAGTGTTTCTTATTTCCTAGTTACTATGGTATGCAATTGAGAAGCAGTAAATGTCACTCAAATTTCTTTTCTTTTGCAAGTGAAAACGAGATGTTACTAGTTCCGATGACCAATCGAGACGAGTGACAATCCATGACGTAGAAATTCTGGGTATGTAGTCTTGGCTACAGCTCTCCTATGTATGATTTTGTGCTTTTTGGGAAGGTCAAAATCACACTCTAGAGGTAAAAAGTTTTTGCAATGGTTGAGAAAAACACACCAATGCAGGGAGGTAGCATTCGGCCTGGCAAGGTGCAATCGGGCCCTGGATTCTCGTATGATAACAGTAAATGAATGAGGAAGGTCTTTGTTTGGAACGAAAGCTCAAATAGCAGCACTTCCGCGCAGGCTAACTTGTTCAAAACGTCTCTTAATCTTCTAGAGAACCTTGCCCACTGATATCCTACTGTTGGCACCTTTCAAGGATCGTCAATGGCTCCGTCGTGGTTGGCCACCGGCCTTATCTGCTTTGTACGAGCCTCAGCTGCTCTAGGGCCACAATTTGGACTTCCAGAGCTATGGGAGGACTTTCTCCGCGAATCTGAGCTTCAAGCATTGCCACCCCAGACTTTTCAGCTATCACAAAACGACGCTGTTCAAGGTGCACCAGATCCCGCGACCCTTTATCAAGCCTACAATCTTTCCGTACCGGTCGATCACTTTCACAACGATTCACTCTATGAACCGCATTCAGATGCCACTTTTCCTCTTCGATACTGGTACGATGACAGGTTTTATAAACCGGGCGGTCCAGTCATCGCACTTGCAGCAGGCGAAACAAGTGGCCAAGGCCGTCTACCGTTTCTGCAAAAAGGAATCGTTGCTATTCTGGCAGAGGCGACCAACGGTGTCGGCGTCATATTGGAGCACCGGTACTATGGTCGGAGTGTCCCCACCTCCGACTTTAGTACTGAAAACCTCCGGTTCTTAACCACCGATCAAGCACTAGCTGATACTGCATACTTTGCTCAGAATATCGTGTTCCCCGGAAAACTTTCAAATGTGAGCTTGACTGCTCCTGACACGCCATGGATCATGTACGGTGGTTCTTATGCCGGAGCATTTGTCGCATTTTTACGGAAAGTGTATCCAGATGTGTTCTGGGGCGCAATCTCATCATCTGGCGTCACCGCAGCAGTTGTTGACTTTTGGGAGTACTACGAAGCCGCTCGACTCTACGCTCCTGAAGGTTGCGCTGAGATCACTCAAAAACTAACCCATGTCGTCGATAACATCTTGTTGCAAAAAGGCAATACAACAGAAGACGATATTTTGCTGTTGAAGACAGCTTTCGGTTTGGCAAATGTCACCACCAGCGTTGATTTTGCGAGCACCATCAGAGGCGGTATTGGAGGGTTACAAGGACGTAACTGGGATCCAGAAATCGACAATCGAGCCTTCCTCCGATACTGCGGTAACATGACTTCGGATGAGATTGCCTGGCCTGCGACCGATAGCCTTGATTCTACAGTCCGCAAACTTCTCACCATCGGCGGTTATGAGACGGAGGTGGATGCGCTGGCGACGCACTTCAAGAACTATATCGGTTACGTGAACTTCACTCGGGTATCGTCATGTACAAATGGCCGGACTCAAGACCAGTGCTTTGGTGCAGGCACTGACGAGACTTACGCGCGTGATGATATCAACCAGACATGGCGTCTTTGGCCGTGGCAGTACTGCACGCAGTAAGTACACCCACTTCTAGACCGTTTTGCAGGGGACTGAGGACTGACAATGACATTAGATGGGGTTATCTTCAAACCGGCTCTGGCGTTCCGGAAACTCAATTGCCGCTCATTTCACGCCTGATTGATCTAGACTTTACTACTAGAATCTGTCGTAAAGCGTTCAACATTACTACGCTTCCAAATGTTGATACTATTAACAAGTATGGCGGTTACAACTTTAGCTACCCGCGCGTGGCAATTATCGACGGCGAAGCAGACCCATGGCGACAGGCCACCCCTAACAAAATCGGGTTACCTCGACCCGAGTCCACACTCGATGAACCAAACCTTGTGATTGGAGGAGGTGCAGTTCACCACTGGGATGAGAATGGAATCTTCAAGAATGAAACAACTTGTAAACTGCCACCGAGGCCGGTCAAGGAGGCCCAGGCTTTTGAGGTCGAGTTTGTGAAAGCCTGGCTGCAGGAGTGGGAAGATGCTCGCCCGTAACGTGGGCAGACTTTCCGCAGTGGCTCAGGTCAGGACAAACGAAGTGTATCCGGGAAGCGAAATTTTCATTGGCCAGCATGTAAGGCATGGTAATTAAACTTAATTCATTAAATACGGATACATTAGGAATTGGTGTCTTGGCATATTCTCCACGCACTCGATTGCGCTACTAATAATACTACTTCGCTGCCTTGATAATGATCTCAGCAGCTCTTTCGGCGATACCGTAAACAGCCGTTTGGATGTGCGCCGAAATCAGAACGGGTATAATACTGGCGTCAACAACTCTCAAATTGGTCGTGCCATAGACTTTCAATGTGGGATCAACAACACCGCCGTCTTCCTTGGGAAGCATGGCGCAGGATCCAACCGGGTGATAAATAGACAACGCTGTCTTGAGAGCAAACTCTCTCCACTGGGCCTCGGTAGTGATGTTCAAGCCCGGCTCGTACTCGGAAACCCAAGTGGATCTCAGGGGCTCAGTAAGCGCGACTTGGCGGCACTTCTTGATAGCTTCAATTGCAGCTTGCAAGTCATACTCGTGAGTTAGATACTTGGGGTCGATCAAGGGGGCCCCGAGAGGATTGGCGGGGTTGATGTGAACGTTACCGCGACTCAAAGGGTGCATGATTGCCGCGATAAGTGTGAAGTAGTCCTTACCATACCCTTCACTTCCTTTTGCGGGATATCCCTTGACACCGGTGTAGCCGTCGCTAAAGAGGATTTCAAGTTGCGGCACGGTGGTGTCGTTAAGCCACTGCAATTTCTTCTGCTCGACAGGGTGTTCTGAGGCACCAATAGCACTCTCGGCAAGTGCGAGAAGGCTGGATTCTCCCTCCTTACCCAGAGCCTGGTTCCAGTTCGTGAACGCGTAACCACTGCCAGAGTATCCGTACATAGATACCTCGCCGTCCCACCAGAGCTGGAGCTGCTCGGCGGCGTAGGTGGTATCGTATTTGAGACGGTCATAGCCAGTGTAGTTTTTGCTGAGCTCGTAGGAACTTTGAATCCGGATGTGGTCTTGGAGGTTCTCGCCAACGCCTGGAAGGTTAATCTGTTGCTTGATGCCGGCGGCAGAGAGAACGTCGGTCTTGCCGATACCCGAGTTCTCGAGCACTGCTGGGCTAAGCAAGCTACCAGCAGAAATGATAACCTCACGGCGTGCCTTCAGAACAGTCCCGTCGACGAGCGTCACGCCAGTGGCGCGTTTCTTGCCGCAGCTGGATTTGAGGTTGACCTTGGCGACCTTAGCTTCTGTTAAAACGTAATGATTCGGGCCCGCCAGAGGGAGATATGAGTTGGCGCTGTAAGAACGGTTGTAGTGGGTGGGTTCGATGCTGTTTGGGGAATAGACAACGCCGATAGGATTTCCGTTCAAAGACTCCAGATTTGTCTCGATGCCGAGGCTGTTCATAACTGGGATTAGAGGAACCTGGTGCTCAGGTAGAAGACGGTTGATCAGGGCCTTGATTGGACCGGCATTTCCCACGCCTTCGCTTCCCGTGTAGTATGCTGTGTTCGCTGAAGTAAAGTTCTCTGACTTCATCATGGCGGCGCGCATGGTATTCCAGTTCCAGCCGGGGTTTCCCAACTCTTCCCACCCATCGTACTCGTGAGCAGATGCTCTGTCGTAGGAGAAGAGGTTGAGGGCGGAGCTGCCACCCAAGACGTGACCTCGCGTCTGAACCCAAGTACGTCCATTTGAGCCTTCTTGGGGTACGGTTGTCAAGTTCCAGTCGTATTTCGAACCAAATGTCGTGCCCCTGCGTCCGGGAATCTCAATACGTTCGTCACCAAGGCCAGCCTCTCCTGCTTCGATAACAAGGACCGTGGCATCTGGCAATCCCAGGCTTAAACGAGTCGACAAAGCAAGTCCCGCTGTGCCGCCACCGACAACGATCTAGATTTTATGTCAGCTCTCTACTCCACGATCTTTCAAGCTAGGAGCACTTACATAGTCATAAACCTTAGCGGCGGGCTGGCCGGGCACTGCCGACGCGACGGCCGCCAACAGGGACGTAGCTAGTACTGCGGAGAGCATGTTTGCTACGGCTTGTTCCTCCTATCTAGACGCCGTGTCAGTTATGATTTTGGGCGTGCGTTGTTCAGCCCACAGCGGCTAGGGCTGTGAATCTGAGACAGACCGCACTTTGACGGACAAGGAGGTGGTACACACGTCGCACAAGAGAGTAAGGGTGTCGATAATGATCGGAAGCTGGCCAGGACGAGCTTGGATGTCCTCGAGTCAGGCAAACACGAGGTGGCGAGGTTCACACGGTTGCTCCGGATCAGGTTCCGTTCGCCTTTTGTATGAAAAGCCCTAGGGTGCCCATGACGAATTGATGCGCGATATAGCGATTTAATCTGTCATTTGATCAATCACGTCGACCCATTCCAAGGCCTCCATCCATGGATAGATAGGGCTTCTATGAACAACCGTAGTGCCATTCCTTGCCAAAGATCAGGGCATAATTAAGGATTAGATTAGCCAGTGGGGGATAGCATGGAGTGAATTGGAAGCTCAACGGTCTCGTTCATTCCCGGGTGGGGGAAGACGCGAGACGAGGTTCCATCGCTCAAGACTTTTTCCAAGGTTCGGTATTGGATGCCACTTAGAGCCATCAAAACCCGCAGGGTCCAGTTCCTTGTCCCCCTCAAGTCCAATTCTCCAGTGGTCGTACATAATACGGATACCACCTAACGAACAGAACATACAGGGTGGGTTCGGCCGTTGGAACAAGGATCATGTAGTATGTAGGCGTTTACCCCGGCCGTGCCCCCCTTTCCCCCTAACAAACACTCCACCTGGCAGCGAAAGCGGCAGCTGCGGGAAGAAGTTCTGCCTGGCATCGGTTGACGCTGACAAGGTGGTCGCGGGTTTTGTCTTCGAAAGTCTATGCCGGATGCTACAGGGTACATGGAAAGGGGCGGTGCCAACTGCGCTGAAGGATGTGGATAAACCAATGGTTGGCTTGGCGAGCATGCCTAGGCAACATTCTTCGGTCTGATTTTTTTTTAATTGACTGCCCTTTGCAAGTGTTTATGCAATGGAGAGACGTTTGTTCGTTGTATGCTCTTCTATTCTGACGATATCGTGAGTGTCCCAGGCTTGACTTTGTCTGGCTATGTTGCAACTACACAATGCCTAAGTTACATTCTGAATGGCTTAAGGAGCGGCTCGAGCCGTAAACACGGAAGGTCCCATAAGCTAAATTTGAGCTCCAAAAGTCGGTTTTCGGTATATTGTCTGATGTTTTACAGTTGCATGCTAAATTTCCACACCAGATAGGAACAGGGTATGGATCAGTCACACGAGCAGTATCGCAACTTGTAGCACCTTTCGAGGCGCCAAAATCAACAATCCAGTGGCAATAAGATCTTTATTACGTCATATTCATTCAAAAGAAAATATAAATGTTGATGATGAGTCAAAAGACGCCTTGCAACTAGAATCACCTACCGGCACTGCTATTGACAAATTGAGGCGTTTTCAATGGACATGCTGACCAGTTTCTCCAGAAAAGCACTCAATGTAGATAAGAAGGGATTTCGCCATCTCTGGGTGGTAGTATTTATTTTTTGTGGTAAGGGCAGTTCCAATGTTATTTCTTTCGTAAAGTAGTGCCCAGACTACTAGTGGGGATGCGAGTCAGGAAGCCAGGAATACTAGCAAGGGCTTCGGCATCGTGGATATCCTCCCTTGGGTCAATTTGACCGGTAGAACAGGAGGTTCCGCATACCGGAGGGGTTTCATATACATGCTCCCGCACAAGTAAACGTGGAAACTTTAATGCTTTTTTCTTTGCTTTTTCCTGATCGAGTGGAAATGCCGGCCGAGTGGTGTTAAAACATATTGAGCCCCGAGTGCCACGCTCATGCATTCTCCCTTGAACAAGCGGACGAATGGTTGGCCTTCTCCCATAAAGTCCTTGTAGTCTGTACTATGTATGTATTAAAAATGAAATTTAGAACATGCTGTTGGTTCTGGCCCCTGACCCTCTTATAGAGACCGGCGCCGTCTTGGTGCTTCCAGACACCACACGGCGAACATCTTTTTTCTTCTCAGTCGCGCCGAGACGGTTGAGCCATGATGGAAAATCTCATACCGATTCTGACGATGTCAAAGAGTTTACTCCAGAGAGATGACCCGCTTCCTCCGGATGAAGACGTTGGGCCAATCTCGGTCTCGCTCGCAGCCGTGTTGACGGGGTTTCTCATCATTACCACTGGCCTTCGACTATGGGTGCGAACAGCTAACCGAAAACTTGGCTGGGACGACTGCACAATCATACTTGCCGGTCTAACGGCCATAATTCGATTTGCATTTTGTGTCAAGCAAGCACAGCACGGAAATGGCAGACACCGAGTATACCTCAGCGACTACGACTATATGATGATCAATATGTACGGATGGTATGGCCAGGTCTTCCTCTTCATCTCTGTAGCTTTTCTCAAAGTCTCGATTTGTCTTTTGATTCTTCGAATCAAGGATACAAAGACTCTGAAAATACTACTTTACATCCTGATGGCCGGAGTCTTGATCACGAACTTTGGGATTGTCATTATTTTGATGGCGGAGTGTCATCCAGTAGGCTTCTGGAGAGGAAAGTCGGCAACATGCTGGCCGACCGAAATTCGGATTTATTCGATATATGCTACAATTGGTACGCTGTTCTTCCCCTAAACTACGAGAGATTAACTTGGGAACTCTGCATTTTCATGGTTTGGCAAGGCTAACCAGTCATTTCAACGCAGCATACTCGGTCTTGACAGATCTAATCTGCTCACTACTTCCTCTCGCTGTAGTATGGAACGTCAAAATGCCGCCAAAGACTAAACTTTCTGTTTGCTTCTTAATGGGGCTTGGCCTTGCGTATGTGCAACCCCTTGTCTTGAGGATGATATTTGCAAGCCATGCTTGCGTTGGTCGACTTGTCGCTAATATTTGGTTAGTGCAACCGGCTTCGGAATCGCAAGGGCCGCTTCCCTTGGAATATCTACAACAGATCTTAGCTGTAAGTCTCGTAAACACGATTACAAGTTTTCAACGCTAATGTATTCAATTTAGGGGTATATTGCATTGCCGGAATCTGGTCGAATCTCGAGCTTTTCCTAGGCATCATTGCGGCCAATCTAGCCCTTTCGCGCTCAATTTGGGTTCATTTCTTCGGAAGCAGGGACAATCAGACACTTCCTGGCTCCACAGGTCGTTCCAATCCTGCTGGGTCAGGTTATGTAAACAGCAAGCTCCGAGGCGATCGATTCGAAGTCCCCTCCACGATGATTCGTTCCCACAGACGAGGTTCGGAGACAAGGAGCTCAAATAGTGATATTCCACTAGAGCCAGGTATCCAGAAAAAAACGGAGTTTTGGTGGACAGAAGACGATGATGCTCAGTCGAAAAATACTTCGATGAGGTTTGACCGAACGCCGGATAAGTAAAGCATCCGGCAGGTCTGGTAGCGGGAACCATTTATAGGCAACTCAATTAATTTTTTTGACGATCCCACCAGCTCCACACAAGGGTCAGCGTCTCTTCTTGTGATCAATGATTTACTAGTTGTCTTCACAGGGGAAGTGAGGTATCCGCCATTTTAAGCTTACCTGAGGCCATGTTTATCAAGCGAACAGCAGATTCCCCGCTGCGACGGTGGATGAGGACTTGACGTAACTCAGTTGCATTCTTCCAATACGGTCAGGATTACTCCGGATCAATGGCTTGGTCATCTCCTGTAAGAAATCTGCTTTGACAGAAAACCTGGAACTACCCGCGCCAAGAACCTTGAATGTAACGCAATAACACCTCTCATGGTCCACGTCGTGATAGTTCCGACCCCCACCTAACTCGGATGTACTTAACTTCCGATTTTTGACTTGAGAAACAATAGAACTCGTAATATTTGGGCCTCCTTTCACTTCGGCTGAAATGGTTGATCCTTCAGGCGTGTCGTGATACGGAATCCTTCGTGCTCATATCTTTAGAGGCTAAATACTGCCTACATGTGTTTGACACTGCGGGTATGCACGCCTAAAGGCTTGTCAGCATGCTTGTTTTGGAAGGAAAAAAGAAAGAAACACGACGAAAGCTACCTTTTTTGTATATGCAATGCGGCTCGGAAGCACCATATCGGGCCTTTATCCCGGAATGGCAGGTCGCCACTATCACAGTCCGAACTAGTAATGCATGTACATTCGGCCAACAGCAGAATATAAATAAGAGCTTTCTAAACCAGTGGTCAGATTTAATATTCGTTGTCCTCACTTCCAGAAGGCCACTTTCTCTCATTAAGCTTTGATATCCTCTTTACAGCTCGGGATTGCTTCAAGATGCATATTCTCAAGGCTCAAGCTATAATTGCAACCGTTCTGGGTGGCGCGTCGACCTTGACCCAAGGAGCGACCATCCAGAAGGACTTCGTTCAGCCGGTTCAAGATAAAGCCTTCGCCGCGATACAAAGGGCAGAGCCAGAGGCCGTGTTGAAGCGGAACAGCACGTGTACACTCGAGAAAGCTGGTGTTCGTAAGAACTGGTGAGTCTAAACGACTGGCGATTTTAGTTGCTTGATATATGTTGACATTGATTTAAACAAGGGAGAGACTGAGCTCAAAGGAAAGAAAAGAGTACATTAGGGCAGTGAAATGCCTGTTATCTTCTCCTTCCAAGACGGACCCTGCCCTCAACACTGGCACTCGTGTTCGTTATGACGACTTCGCCGCCCAACACATTAACCAGACGATGAGCGTCCATGTCACCGTAAGTGGCGTCTATTTCTTCGCTCTCATTCCGGGGTTACTGACTTTAACACAGGGCAATTTTCTTACTTGGCATAGACAGTACATTTGGTCTTATGAACAGGCATTGAGAAACGAGTGCGGCTATACCGGCTATCTTCCGGTAAGTGTCCCGCTATCAAAATAGTCCCGGTTTGTAGCCTCGCTGACTATTCATAGTACTGGAACTGGTTTTCCCATCAAGAAAACCTCCGAAAATCCCCCGTTTTTGATGGCTCAGACACTAGTATGGGTTCGGATGGTGCTTTTGTGCAGCACAACGGATCCATCGGGTCGGCCGGCCTGCACATTCCCTCTGGGTTAGGAGGTGGTTGCATTGCCACTGGCCCCTTTGCAAAGTACGTAACTATGGTTACATGTGTGATTTGGCCTCTCAGAACAAATACTAATGCAACTTTCTTAGTCTGTCAGCCAATCTTGGACCAATTCAGCCTCAGCAAGACGGTCTGATTGGCATCGGTACTGCTGACACGCTTCGTTACAACCCCCACTGCGTCACTCGCGACCTCAGCAGCTGGTTGGCGAGCCGTATCTACACCAAAGATGCCTTTCTCAACGCCACTGTGCGCGAAACAGCCAAAAACATCGCCAGCTTTCAGAATGAGATTGATAGTCAGAGCGGAGGGCTCCCAGGTGTTCATGCCGGCGGCCACCAAGCCATCTCTGGCTCGAACTCGGACCTGTTCTCCGGGGTTGTAGATCCTGCCTTTTACTTGCACCACACTATGATGGACAGGATGTACTGGCTTTGGCAGTCGTTGCATCTTGATCAGGCCAAGACGATTTCGGGACTATCACCTTCGCCAACAATCCTCCAAGCCGCAATGCCACGTTGGAGGACATCATTGAGCTGCCTTACCTGGGGGTAGAACCGGCAACTCTTGGTAGCTTGCTCGACACATTGGATGGGCCATACTGCTATGTCTACGCATAAGGCACAGTTAAATCCCGCATTGACACAGTCTGGTTGAATGATCAGGAAGGGATTAGGGTTAGCATACGTTCTATTCAGCCGCCGTAGTCAAATGCAGTAAGCCTTCACTGGTAGAGCCCTACTCGGGCTATTAAGGGGTATCTTGCAGTTTCGTTTTTTGAATTGTATTGAGACTTAAACTCAGTTCTTAGACGGCTGCCATGCGGAACTGTTCATCTTTCTCTGTCGTTAATTTCCACGATCCCATGCAACATGCTCACCAATGTTGAATATGCTTGAGAAGCTACCACGGGGGGTGTACCATCTTTATCCAAATTTTCCTAGTTAAGTCGTCATCTATAACTTGCGTGCAGGTAGTTACGCTCTAACCTACTCTAACTCTAGAGCCTTGTACATAAAACGGACAGTCAAGATGTCCTTACACAGCACCAAGGCAAAGGCTTAATCTTGGTGTGATCGAATGTCGTCTTCCGCAAATTCTTTCTTCGCCGACAACCTAAAAGAAGCAATCCATATAACGAGCAAAATAGCAAACTGCACAAGAAGCATATACTGAAACACCTGAAGTCCAACAAGTTGAGTGATTGCTCCAAGCATATAAGGCAGCAATGCACCACCGACTTGCCCAAGAGAAGCGACAAACGAGACAGATGCCACATGAAGCTCTTTCGGCAGCAGTTCAACCAGCTGGACAATGCTAGATGGGAACAGCGGCCCCATGAAGAAGCCAAGGAGGGCCATGGAAAACACAGAGAACCAAAGTACTCTAATGACAATAAACAGCACCACAAATGCAGGAGCGAAGAGAAGATATATGACGACAGCTCGCCTTACGCCGAGTTTGTCAGTCACAAGCCCTAACATGAGCCGACCGGCTGCCATGCCCGCCCAGAACGCAGAGGAGCAAAGACTTGACGCATAAGTGCTGGCATGGCGGACACGTAGCATGAATGCCACGATCCACCCTGATATCGTGCACTCAGCACCTACATAGACCAGGAGGTATGTGGCGTAGGTCCACGTTGCACTGTATTTAAAAATTGCTCCTTTGGTTGCTTGGCCGGTCGCAATGTCTTGGTGTAGCTTGCTTTTGTGGTATTTTTCAGAGTCTTCGTGTCTGAAAGCAAAGAGAAGAACAACAATTTCGATAGCTGACGCGAAAGACTGCAACTTTAGTTAGATAAGAAAGCGACAGTGATCGCACAGTTTCAAGGCATACCAATACGTAGAACCAGCGATACCAAAGACTACCGGATTCAGATAGCATAATACCAACGAGATAAGGACAGATAGCCGCCCCGGTTGAGAATGAACCGTGAAGCAACCCCGAAAGAGTGTTCGCTTGTCTTAGAGCAGCAACCCAGGCACACCAAGATCCATCAATCAGACCGATCCCGAACGCACCAATGGCGGCGGCTAACAGAAAAACAGGGAAAGGCGGGCGAAAGGAAGCGGTTGCAGCGTAGACAAGATGGCATAGAGGCCCAATAGTCGCGATCCCTCTCTGACCAAACTTATTATGAATGAAATCATTGCGCCAAGATGCAATGATGTAGCCGATTGGCATCACAAGGAAGATTGCCGATACTTGTATGTCGGTAAGTTTATAGTGTTCCTCAAGGTGAGGAATGACTACGCCGGTCGTAGAAGTGAATAGTCCTACAACAACAAAGGACCAGGCTGCTGCAGCAATTCTCAATGCGATTGTCTCGTCCTTGTGCTCATCAGCACCCAAAGTCGCGTCCGAAACCATGCTACTGTCATGATGTATCTCGTCTCCCCTAGCTGCCTGGTCGAGTAGAGGTTCCGCCTCTGGGGAGTCTGGAGGTGCACGATGCGCGGTGAGAGATGCCATCTTGATGTATCAACATGGTATATTCAAAATGAGATGTAATGGAAGAACGACAGTGTCGTGGGAAATTGTATACATAAAGGGAGGAATATAAATTCCGGGGAAGCCAAGTTATAGCTGGGGAAGCTTGGGGTGGGCGGGTCAGGTGACCCCTGCGCGACCGTCGCTTTAGCTCCATTAGGCAGTACTTTCAGCTCAGGTCACTAAATTAGGATATTGAGCCAGCGGCCACACGGGAAGACTACCCGCTAAACTGCGTAACCGCCAACCCGTGTCACTTGAAACAATGATGTACCCACCACCACCTTACCAGGGTAAGGCTAGCGAGACACACAGACTGACCAACATGGAAATGAATGTATCGCCCGATACTTTAACTCATCAAGTCGTGTATTGCAGCAATGTCACGCCTTCACTTTAAAGAGCTAGATTACCGTTATTTTGCGGGTTTAATACTTTGAACCCGTCCTACAACATTCCCTGAACTTTCCTTGTGTGCTCTTTAGGAAATAGCCCCCAAGTTTGAACTTGTTTAAACGTTTGTGCTAACGCATCTCTTCATAGATCTGGTCTTGTAAGCTATCATGTCCCGTTTTGAGATACGCCTGCTCTGTTTTCAACGGCAGTATGCTCATTTGAGTCTCCTGTCAGAAAGATGGGAAACAACGAGCAAATCATTTCTAGCAAAGAAAGGAAGGCTAGTGATGAGTGGCTTTGAAAGAATCGGGAATGTCAACTTGTTAAAAGTAGTAGTCCGCTCTTGGCCATGTATTTGCCTCGCTATTTTATGATTAGCTGTCCAGTCAACTATGTTCAAGGTTATATAGAACTCCCAAGTTTATTGAAATACTGGCTAATTTTGGGGTCCAAATAAATTGGATCTTTATGAGGCATGGCGACTCAGTTCAGCTTCGAATTCCCCAATTTGGAAGCAACCTTAAATAGCTTTCTTCACCTTAAACAACATACGACATATTGGATGGTAAATATTTGTACGTGAAATTGTTACTAAAGCTCACCAACAACACATCTACAGGCGCACCTCGTAAAGGGACGGGGAACCACCACTTCCTCTCCAAGTCTTGCAAAGTCCCTTCTCCGAGTCCCTAAAGACCGGGTCATATTTTGGTTTCGGCACAGCCCAACACTTTTCATAGTCCCCTCCTCCCACCACAAAATCCCATTCCCCGCCGCAATATGCTCCCAGCATTGTATATCCTGACAACTCAACTTTGCTCAGTGCCTCCTTCGGGTCGTCAGCCTCGATACCATGAGCACGCCCAGGTGACAGAAGCTTGAGATCCGCTTCTGGTTTCGTATTGTACGTCTTATGCGCCACGCCGGCAGGAATCACAAAAACATCACCGGCTTCGGCTTCGATCTCCACGCCACCCTGCTCCCACGCTGATTCGTACGTATTCTTGTCCAAATCCTCCGAGGTATCCGCCACGCCGAAGCGGATTCTAGCAGTGCCGGAAAGGACGGCCATGCACTCGTGGGCTTTAGAGTGGAAGTGCGAAAGCTGCGTTGGGCCGTAACGGAAGATCCATTGCACGTCCCATCCGTTGTGGGTGAATCTTTCCCAAACTTGCGCTGGGGAGCAGTGTGATTTGTGTGGGACTTTGGGGATGACGTTTTTATAATGTAGGAGAGGCCGTGGCGAGTTGGGGATTAAATCAGTTGGGAAAAGGTGGTACTGCTTTACTTCGACCATTTTGATCTCTTTCTCCTTCTCTCCTTGAATAGATGGTAGATTTTTACGATTTATTGTACTGGGTCAGAAAGTTCAGATGCACAAGTGCTATGTTGCTGGTTTGATTTTACGAAGTTATTATATCTGCCCAACGTCACACTTACCAGGTAGGGATCGGATCGGCAAGATATCCGATGGAAATCGGGAATCGAATCCGAAGCGGGGTCCTTTGTCCGGTTAGGCACCGCCCTGTCAACCCCGCATAGGGAGTCGCGCCCTTCGGCTCTCCGGGTGCGGAGATCTCTAAAAATGATTTCTCTATTCCGTATGGGATGTCCTTTAGCAATACTTAGGCATAAATAACATAAACACGTTTCTACTGCATGGCGTAACATCAGCTGGTGTTGAATGTTATCACAACAGTCGCATGGTCGATGACAAGCTAACACAACTGCACCATACCGAAATAATGGGATGAACAATTTAGTCCATAAGAATACATCTAGGTAAGAAGCCTAAAGCTGGTGATCCAAGACCTGAAGAAACAGTATAACGCCTTGATTCACTGGCAGGATAATACTGACGCTTTATGCCCTCAATCCTTAACCAAGACTGCAGCATGATGCCATCAAGACAGAATGACATGGCTAGGAGAAACAGTAGCCAGGGTTGTCGTTAATTGGGTCTATCACGAGCTACATATTCATAAAGCCTGGCTCAATGATCTCCGCCAGCTATGTCTGCCCTTGGAATAATCAAGCTAGGCCATTGAAAAATAGGAAAGCAAAATCTCAAGTTACTATTGACTTGCTGCGCAGTGTTAAAACATTGTCCACGATGACTTTTGAGCCGCATCGTCACCTTATGGGCGTCTTCTCATGTATGTAAGTGCCCACAGAAGCCCGAAAAGCACAGGATGTTATTCATTATATCGAACACGAAACAGATATAAGGAGGAGATTTTATTTTTCTGATGAGCAGAGGGTAAGTTACATTATTAAGGTAGCGTGCATGTTAAGGTTAAAAATTGATTACATTTGGTTCTGATGGGCTGCATTGGAATGTTGCTGCAAAATCATCCATCAAGTTACGTATATTTCGTAACACGATTACACGGAGTTATAGTGCATTATGTCCCCCAAACCTTGCAAATACTTTGTAAACAAGTAAAAAAATGGAAGCAAAATAAGGATAAAGAAGAGTTGTCTGGATATTCCGAGGATTTCCGAACCCAGCACGAACACGCCGAACGGATGCGTGAATGGTAAGCTCCGAAATCCCCGACGGTGGCCGAGAAATGACGCAACCGGATAAACGGGCACGGTGAAGTCCAGGACCTTGAATATAAATGTAGTTCACAATAATTTCACAGATATTGACTGAGATTGGAAACATACAATCTACCCAGTGAATCTAGACGACAACAGCGCAAAGCAGTGTCAGCAAAATGTTTTACAAACCTGGAGTCGATGATCACGGGCTTCCCTATGACCCATTCAAGGTACCTTTTCAGACATCTGCACCAAACACTTCACTCACTCACGAATCAGGCATGCGTAGTACCAAGAGCCATTGGATGGATTTCAACTGTGTCATCGAAAGGCGACCAAAACTTGGCGCCGTACAGTCAATTCACCAATGTCACTTTTGACCCACCCATGGTGATGTTTAGCGCAAACCAAACTCTGAGCGCAAATCCAGAGCGCAAGGACACCGTGGAAAACATTGAGCAAACGCGCGTGTTTTGTTGGCAGCTGTGCACGTACGATTTACGAGAAAGCGTCAACATCTCGGCAGAAGCAGTGGGCCCTGAGGTGGATGAGTTCGAGCGGGCTGGGCTGGCAAAGACCTGGTCAACGAGCTTGAATACGCCAGTGCCAATGGTGGCCGATTCTCCGGTTCGGTTCGAGTGCGAATACGTCCAGACCGTCCGGCTTCCCGGGAAGCCCCCATTAGGCACTGTGGATGTTGTCTTTGGGAAAGTCGTAGGGGTTCACATCGATGAACGTATCTTGACAAACGGGAAAATCGACGTGAGGAAGACGAACCCCATTGCCCGTCTTGGATACTTCGAGTACGCCGTCGTCAGAGACTCTTTTGAGATGGTAGTTCCTGGTGATAAGCGTCTCCTTATTGGGGTAAGTGGTCATTCTTCGTCAAACGCTTTGGCATTTACAAGCTAACAAGGGATTAGCTCGAAGGCAACGCGTCCAGGCACAGGGATGAATTGGCTAAAGAGGAGGAAACGAAATAGAGGAGGAAACGAAACGATCTGATTTTAAGGATAGCAATGTTAAGACTACGGATCTCGAGTTACCCAAGAGAATCTATCAATAGCTTGATGCACTGATCTGCTAAATGACAATGTGAACTAGTTTCCACCTCCTGGCAGGATTAGGGGTTAACCCGAAGCTGTGAGAAGTGAATAGATATATTAGCAAAGACGAGAAAATTGGAACGTTGTGTAGGTCACCACAAACAGCAGCCGTTTCTGGTATGCGTTTTAGGCCCTATTTCCCAGCCTAAAAGCGTCTACACATCCTGCCGGGTTTGTCATGATTGTAGACCCATTCGAAACAAACCAACAAGCGCTTTTAATCGCCGGCCCAGCTATGAGATCTAACTAAGGGACCGCATGAGAAAAAAGGCCTACCTAGGTAGGAACACAGTACGCAGGAAAATGAAGAAAAGAAAACCTATTGCCGGGTATATATTCTAACGAAGAGAAAATGGGAGTGTCACATTCCCTTTGCTCCATTCTTTATGAGTCCCATTTTTTTGAAACTGCGCCTAGAAAGCAGCGTACTCGCTCGAAGCTCAACTAGAAACTCTCGATATTGGGATTCTCCTCAATCAAATGCGCCAATGGCAAGAACAACTTCATGCCTCCTTCCCCATTGGACGCATGGATATCTCTGACGTCCTGCCACGTCATCCATTTCCATACCGAGCACTTTTCCGGTTCCAGATTCTGCCACAATAGTCAGTATATTGACCCAAAAACTCCCTCACGAGGCCATGCTTTCATGTAGCAGACATGATATCTCATCGTTCGGGGAGGGGAAGCGGCGTAAACTCACCACGGGCACCGCGCTGTCGTCCTCCATCTCACACTTCACGAAAATGGTGATATAGTGCTTCCCCAACTCCTCATAGACGTCGTTCGTCACGGCCACGATTTTGGTAGCCTTGACCTTCAGCCCTGTCTCCTCCTCGGTCTCGCGTTCTGCGCAAGTGAAGAAGGACTCGCCGAACTCGAGATGTCCTCCCGGGAGCTGCCATGTTCCTGCGACGGCAAAAGTCAGAAAAAACCTCCGTAGTCAAATAAGAATGAGGGTGTATTGAGATGTGTACACTTCTGGCGGGAAAGGGATGAGTGTGATGACATACCTGCGCCGTGACTGCTCTCCCTCTTACCAACCACTATCCGCCCATCTTTGCGGGGAATAATCGCTGCGATACCGACGCGGGGATTCGCGAATGCGCTTGCTGGCTGGCTAGACATGCTTGAAATATTTGCTGGTTTTGTCGTTGGGATATCTTGAATGCGCTATTGGTGGTTGGAAAAAAAAAATGGTAATAAAGTATGTAGCGGTACACACTGATGGAGGCTTTATAAAAGTGTGAGAGGTTTGAGTCATTTGAGTGAGGCGTGAGGCTCCCTAAGGCAGCCTGCAGGGCCCAACTGTGTAACAACGTTAGTGGGTGGGTAGCACTGCCGACGCCGATGTATTTTATGTGCCTTGCGCATTGCCCACGCTAACTAAGCCTCATCATCTTCGCCTTTGGCTTGAACAATGTATAAGAAGAGCTTGCAGCATCGCCTTTGATAGACATGCAATTGTCCCCGTCCCCCTGACATTGAATTCACTACTTCCACTTATTTTACCTACCTAATTCATTTAGCAGAATCGCCCAGTTCGGTCGGCTCCGCACGCAGTCCCGCCCTAGAGCGGAGCCATTCGCATTCCCGCATCTCAAAAGCCTCTTGCCCTTCCCATCTCCACAACAATAAATGGTCTGGTGGTGTAGTTGGTTATCACGTCAGTCTAACATGGCTACGGCATCTCACGATGCCTTCGCCTAGGTTTCACTGAAGGTCTCCGGTTCAAGTCCGGGCTAGATCATAACCATTGGGCGATTGGTTTAGTGGTATAATACTCGCTTAGCATGTGAGTGGTCCAGGGTTCGATTCCCTGATCGTCCAATTCTTTTTTGTCTTTTGGTTCAATTTGCTTTTTGTTTGTGTTTGTTCAAGGTTGGCGGTGATGGTAGTGTTACATTGACAAGACATCTGTTTGTGGTTTGTGAAACAAGACGACGGTGGATGAATGGACCCTCAGCAGTGAAGGGCAGCATGCCGCACGAAGTTTGTTTGATATAACTAAAAATACATTTCATCGTTCATTCATAGCCTCTGCTTGCAGTGGGTATCATTACATGGCCCATTTTAGAGCCTCAGCATGAGAGGAGACATTTCAATCCTGACCTTTGGTCGCGTAAATCACCAAGCCCCCTTGCCCGGGTTGTTTTCCGGGTCCATCTCGAAACCTTTGATACTCTCCTGCCAATTTTGCCAGTTGAAATCGTCCAGATTGTCCATATTTACGTCTATCGCATCCATCGGCACATCATCAAAGCGGTTGTTGATGGACGTGAAAGGGTCAGACCACAGCCATGGTGGCTGGTTATCATTAACGGACGACGCAATCTGCGGTTGAGAAGTGGCGGCGATAGCCTGCTGTCTCTGCCTCTGCTCTGCATTGGATGCTTGATTGTTGTTTGGAAGGGTGGGAGTTTGTATAGAAGAAGGCATCATGGGCTGAGACGCCGTCTGCTGGATGGCGCTGGGTGGGAAAAGAGTATTGTTAGGGTCCGCAGCCATGGACTGTGCTGTAGGGTATATGTACTCCCACATTTCGCTTGGGTTGAAGCTCCGGTTCATCATAACCGTGTCGATGAGATTCGAGTTGTTCTCCTGCAAATCCTGCGGAGGAGCCGTAGCGGTCTGGTTCGGCCGGTTTTGCGTCGGTTGAGTTCGTGTTGGGGCCGCATTGTTAGGTGCTGCCAATGGACTGGAGCCCTCTGTCCGCACCAACTTTCGCCAACGGGCGCGGATCGCGAGGTGTGTGTTCTCCATCCCAGGCACAGGGCCAAGTCTGGCTGGAATGGGGTTCATACGGTCGTCGACGTCGAGCTGGCGCGCCGCTTCGGGATCTGATCTGAGACGCTCAATCTCTGCCTCGCGATGCTTGGTTGCCTTTGCGCTCAACTTTCGCAGCGGCACCCAAACAGCCATGTGATCTGCCATCCTAGATATCTCGGTTGGATCCTTATCAAACCGCAGGGTATTGTTGACTGCCTCCCAGCCACGCTCAGAGGTAGCTGACCATGGGCGTCGTCCAGCCTCCATGAGAATGTACGCAATAGCATGCCACTGTCGGTATGTCTGGAATAGCCACCTCCATTGCTTGCAGCGTGGGTCAGTGTTGAGGATGTAATTATACTCGACAATCTCAATGGCGGAGACGAAGAGTCTGTCGCGAATATCTCCCGCCAGCTCGTGTCCGTTACCAGGGAACAGCATCGGCTGATAGATGACGAGACTCATCTTGGCCATAATCACACGAGCGATCATGGCGGCCATCCAGAACAAGGGGTCGTCGTCGGTGAAGCAGTGCTGAAGGAACTTCTCCTCGACCCGATCGTAAACTTCAATTAGCATCCGCTCGCGTTCTTCGAGGCTCGAAGCGGCATCGCGCGGGCAGACGCCAGCCATTGCTGATCCAACAGTATGAAGTCGTCTGGATAAGGCGCAAATTTCGTATCGCACCAATGATACGGCACAATCCGTTCTACCTTGACGAGGCTTGGGCGGCTCAACCATGCCAGGCTCAATATCCGAGTCGTTGATGTTAGACGGAAGTTCTGTGTCGAATGAACGATCGATGATGGTAAGGTCACTGCCCAGTTCTTCTGCGGAGCGCAGGTCAAGTGTGCAGATGGACCACCAGAGGCGTCGCCGCATCTCAGTCTCAAACGGTGGAAGGTTGAAATGCGTTCCATCACGGTGAATACCCAATCCTTGCGCGATGCGAATTGCCAACCCCGTCAACGTCCAACAAAAGCGAGTATCGTCTTGCCGCCTGACCAATGTGAGAAACATGACAAAAGCTTGGAGGACCACCATGTCTGAAGTGTTGAGAAAGTTGGCTTTTGCGAGAGCCTGTTCCAGCGCGAAGCGATACTGCGAAAGCATCTCTTCTTTCTTGGACCCAAAGTTCTTCTCGACCTGGAAAATTCTGTTAGACAAGCAACTTCCTAGAGAGAAAAATGACCCACCTCCTCGTCTTCCATGGATGTAATGGCAGCGTAGTAGATGGAGAACAGCAGAGCCTCGTTTCCAGGGGTCAACTCATCAATGTTGCGTCGCATATCACGAATGAGCTTCTCCATCGTAGGTATATGAAGGATCTTGAGCAATGGCTCAACATTTTCTTGGTAGACCTGCCACATGAATGGTATTTGCGACGGCAGCGGATGCAGCTTGCGCAAGTCAACATCCGACGAGCGATATCCAAGTATGAAAGCATGATGATCGGCTGATGCGTCATTGTCCTGTAGCGGCGAGCCATCGGGCGTCTCTTCGTTTTCAGACTCATCGGATTCTTCGTCCATGGTTCGCATTCTCTCCCGAAGCTCGTCGATCTGTAGATATATCCACGTTAGCGATCGAAGCAAACCCAACCTAAGCAACTCACTTCGTCATTGAGCTTGGACCAAAACGCGCTGCTCACGTAGCGGCTTGTCCTGCCCTTGTCATGCATCACTAGCCGGCCAAACGACCTGCTGACGCCTGACTGCCGATGATCCATCGGCCGCTTCGGCTCTGAGTCTGTATCCATTCGCACTGGCGCAACAGCCTCCTTCAGCGCAGCCACTCCCGCACTACCACTCTGTGTACTCCCTGCCCTCTCTGAGGAAAAGTCGTTCCCTTGAGTATCGGGGGAATCTCCGGTGCTCGAGTTTTGACGTCCACTGTTGCTCCCTGTGCCGCTCTCGACTTCAATCTGACCACTCAGCTCCTCAACAATACCCTCAAGCTTGCGCAGGCGCTTCATCAGTTCGACCTCGCGCTCCGAAGAATTCTTGGGCGGAGCGTTGGGGTCCTTTGGTCTAGGCCTTCGAGGAGCGCGGCCGGGGGCGGGGAAAATACATTGAATGACAGCTCGACGACAGTTGCTGCAAGGCATTTGCTTGTCGCATCGGACCTTTCTTCGACGACAGGTGACACAGCTTCGCGGATTGAGGGCGGGCACACCGGACGCCGTCATGGCAACAGGCTGGTCGGGGGGTATAGAGGTTGCGCCATGACGGCTAACGGCGGGAAAATCGTGGGTGGAGGTCGGAGATGTTGGCGAATGGTGGGGGTTGTTCGATGCCTGCGCTGGTGTTGCGGGATTCGAATGCTGGCTTGTCGGCGAGAAGTTCTCCATGACTGGTTGTATGGAAGACCGAGAGACCGGTATTGACGGAGAGTGACCAGCCAGGGAGGAGGCAACGTGAGAGGAGAGGAGAGTATCACAAAAGTTTGGGTTTGAAGGATTCGATTCGAGACGTGAAAACAGTTCGGCTGACAAATGGGGATCTTGCAACAGCAAGGGAGCTCTTGGCTATTTACCCTGTCAAAGACATGAGTCATACGACTAGAAAAAGTAATTGAGCATATCCAACTCCTGAGAAGGAAAGAAGAGAAAATGGAACCGTTGTATGTGCTGTGACGACTTGATGCGGCTCGAAGGAAGAATGCCGACTTCGTTGAATGGAAAAAGAGCCAAATGCGGTGCTCCAAAGTGGGGGAAGTGGGAACCAGCACTAAACAGAGTCACACCAATTCAAAAAAAGCATCAGTGCTTCTTTCGCGTAGTGGGCCGCCCTGTGGTCGGAGCTTCAAGCCGGGGCGCCTAGATCGGCCCCCCCCCCCCCCCCCGAATTGCGCGTCATCCCATTGGTCTCCCCGCCGTTACCGGTGCAATCCTCGACACACCGAAAGGACCCTGGGTTTATTTGACAGACCGGTTTCGGTGAGCTTCGGTGGAGCTATTCCCGACCTCCGAGCTGTTCGCTTACTACGCAGCTAGTGCAGTACATCAATACACCTAGAACCACCAGATGCCAATGGAGAGTATCACTGCTAATTTGTAATATGTCTTCGCTACAATTCAGCTACGAACACCGATCAACATAGTCGGCGGTAAGGGCTCTGGCCTGGTTCATCGACGTAAGAGGTTTGTCAAATCCGATATCTCCGAGAATACTGGAAACTTGCCCAACCCACTCTAACCTTAGCCCAAAAGTTTGCAACGGTTGGTATGCTGCCATGACGCACAGCCAGCTAGTCCTTTTCTTGGCATGCTTCCATTCCACAATAATAGAGGTATCTCCGGGCTACTTCAGGTGTTGTTGCTCATTTGCTCACATCAAGTCAATATCCCGACACCTCAGCCGAAAGTTTATCGCTGGCATCCCTGTCTTTCACGTACATGACACTTTCGAGCTTACCAAGCTTCTATTAAGTTCCAGGTTCCAGCACCAGATCGTGAAGCAGCAATCGTAAATTGTCGTGAAGAACTTTCCAACCTGATCCCGCCTGTCAATATGTCTGCCAGATGTTGCCTAGGGTTCCTTGTCTTTAGCATACAATACCCCGCCCAGAAGTAACCAACACGAAACAAATTGCTTGAGCGTGTCATCATGAGCAAGAGGTGCCGAACCTCTTCTCCCAATCTTCCTTGTATCCTCCACTGTGCACTTGTGTCGACAGCAAGTAGCATACTGTCAGTGTCATATTGGCCTCTCCGTATCTATCCCAACCCAAGCTTGTCTCTGCTGCTTCCCATCGCAAGGACTTTCATGTTAAGGAAATGTCATCGCGTTTGAGGGGCGCTTCAAGATCCCCTTAGTTTGTCGGCAAATCAGACAACGGGGAACACAGTTGCTGGTAACAACCTGACAATAAGGATGTTGAGCTCTTGGCTCTTCCCCTTTCTGAAGGACTCCACGGCACAATATTACGCGGCTGTTGATATTAGGCTACTGGCTTCGTATGCATTTACTTGAAATGCCTGGGGTTAAACTGCATTGACTCTTGGTTTGGTCTGACAGCCGTACCTGGTTTTCAGTTTCCTTGACATACTCACGTAATCTGTCCTTCTTCCCCGACAACGAGCTGTGTATGTCAGTCATTGATTGGCAGGTCTGGTAGTCTGTGGCATTCTGCGCGCCGTCCTCCGGATTTATGGTCAGAAAGAAGGCTTTCGTAATATTTAGTCCCCACGTTCCGTCACATAAAGTTCCAAGATCAACACACTAAACACGGTATACGTTACGCTTTGCAACAAAAATCTATCCCCTAATGATTACAATCGCGATTTCTTTATTCAATCTGCGGCATTTTGTGTCTGTTGAAATTTTGATATCGAGGTCTTGACTGACCCTCAAGACTTTGGATTAGTCTCTGATGTAGTTTGAATAAAGGGCTATAAGTCTCACGGCCAGCCTAGTGGCATAAATGGGGCGGGACTTTCATTTGTGCACGAACTTGCCGGTTAAATCTTTCCTACAGAAAGTAAGGGCTTGATCCAATCTGGTTCCCTTGTCTCGTCACACCTTGTCCTAGAGAACTCGCCTTATGCCGGTACTACACCGTATGCTAACTATCCGCAACTTAAATTAAATACGAAAATTTAAACCGGTTTGCTCCTTCGTTGGAGGCTTACCTTAAACATTCCCCTAGAGCTAGTGAGCCAAAACATAATAACCTTCATCAAACATACTGTCATCCAGAGCACCGAACCTTCACGCAGCCGCTTCCTGACGAATCCTCCATACTTTGTCTTAGGACCAGCCGGGTTACTTTATCTGTTGCCAGTCGCACGTCCTGTATTCCAATGCTCAACCTGGTAGATTAATTCAATCTCAACCCAACCACGTCGTCTCCGGAGACATCTAGGCTGAAGCCTTCACCTCTGCATTCGCAACCGGCGGAACCCCTCGATTCATCAACTCCTTTTCGTCCTCTCCGGCCTCAAACCTCCTCACCAACTCCTCAGGGTCGAAACTCGGACCCCTAGGGTCTTTGGCGAACTCGGCGCTCATCATGAACTCCATCGCATCCTCCGGCTTCTCGAATGTGTCAACCTGCGTTTCGATCTTGTTGCCGTCCGGGTCGCGGTAGTACATGCTTGTTGACATTCCATGATGCATGCAATACGCCGGCTCGATACCCATCTTCTTCCTCGCAAGATACGACTGTACTAAATCACCCAGAGAATCATAGGTGAGGGCAATGTGGTCAAAGCCGCAGCTGTTCTCCTGCTTGGGAACTGCGTTAGGATCATTGACGATCGCCAGGCGGTGGTGCTCGTGGTCCCAAGTCAGGAAAGTGATTAGATCGTTCGAGTGGACAACATCCGCATTGAGAAATTTAGTGTAAAAGTCAACTAGCCTGACCGGGTCGTTCGTGCGAAGGACAAAATGCGCCAGCTCTGAAGGCCTGCAGACTCCCGTGGCTGACGCTGGCTTGAAAGACATGTTGGTGATGTTTAATGGGTGTAGACTGGTACGAAAGGCAATTGTTATGTTGCGAGTGAAGAGAACATGAGGTCTGGTCAACGTTAGGAATGGGAATGCGGGGATTTCGTACCTTTAAGCCTGCTGTACAGCCTTTGTGCGACGCCACTGAGCGAATCCTCTACCAGGAGGGAACACGTTTCAACCGATTCTCGCTATGCAGATATTCATGTGATCATCAATGTTCAGCTGGTTTTCCTAAGCAGCTTGTCATACCGGTCTCCGACGCCTAATTTGCACCGGTTGTCTGAGCACCCGAGGCGGACGTCCGCCACGCACACGCCCCAAGACTTGTAGTCTTCTAGGAGTGCTGTCCACCTGTAAACTGTAAAAAACACTAATGAAAGCAGGTACCTAGTTGCATCAATTACCCCAGGGCCCGTACATTTCTAAAGATGATGGGACGTTTTGGACTGTGTGGATGGGACGACTCGACCGAGCTCCATCGCACCCTCGGTGATTCACAGGGCCGCGAACTCCGATTCTCCATTTGTAGTGTTAATTCTTTTTGCCACAATCGGCCTCTTCATTCTTTCGCGATAGGTGAATAATGGTAAGGTAGTGCAGTTGAAATGTTTCAACGTAACAGATCCGGGTCAAACAGTTGCATCACTTGTTTGAGCGCTTACAACGACACGCAAATACTGCAACTGGCCATAAGTCCGATTAACCCGAGTCTTCCTTCGGTGATTTATACCAGATTCTCGCTGACTCGGGTATCTCGGTGCTTGGCGACTGTAAATCAGCTTTTTCGCGACCTTAGAACTAGTATCAAAACGATGTGGGCTTCCATCGGCGCGAGACGAGCGCTCCGTCAGGGACACATTCCGGATGAATGTCCTCACTTGCGCCGCGTGACCCAGTGAATCAGAGACTAGGATTAGGCTTAGAGACAGACTACTGGAGCTGACCTCCCGTATATCGTATATTTTCAAGAACCTCTGAAAAAAGATAAAGGGAGGGACCAAAAGCAGCAATGAAGTTTCTGTGTGGCAAGGCCTATTACGCCCAAGTGGCTCTAGGAGATGTTGAACTCAAATGAGATAGCATCTACCAACCGTAGCATTATGTTGATATTTCAACATCGATGCAATCAGCTTCTTATTCTCCGGTTCCTCGACCAGTTTCAAACTACTGAAGCAGTATTATCCCATCATGCTCAGGGACCAGTGCTCTAAAGCCAACGTGTTTAGCTTTTGGGTTATCTTTATGTTTCCTGCTGTGAGGGCTCGAAACGGTTTGTAGCATGTTTGGGTTGTCTTTCCACATTATGCGTTATTCGCAATCAGAGGGGTGTCGTCGGGACGCCGTGGTGATTAGTAGCCATTCACTATTTAAAAACGCCATTCTCGACCATATGGTCCTTCGGTTACCGTACCCTCTTTGAAAAGAACCTAGCAGAAGTTATCTGGAACAATCTTTTCATTACATAAGATAGTTCGATTATCTTTTTAGTTACAAGGATTGGAATCCTCAAGGAAGTTGGCTGCTCAGCTACTGCTGGGATGGAACCAGTGAAAGCCAAAGTCCCTCCTGCGTAGCGGCGCTTCTGGCATCTTAAGCAACAATGCTCAAGCAATTCCGCGCCTCAGCTTGCTACCCCCTCTCATGAACTCATGAAACTGTTGGTACACATTGTTAGCATCCAACGTAGCGGGTCAAGCCTCAGCTATTTCAAGGTCAATGTTGAGAGCCTTCCTGAAAATATCGTGCCTAGAGAAGACATCTGAAAGTGGGTTATTACCCACCTCACCCCGAGTCAGTCGCCCCAAACATCTAGTGCTTGACAAATCGGCAACTCGCCCCCAATGACTGGAATTCGACCACAGTCCACGCAGTTCAGCTCACAAAATTGGGTTTGGAAGCTACATCCGGGGAAAAAACAAAAGGAACTTTGGTGGCAGAGGAAATAAAGTCGGTCGACAAGCGTCTCATCAACCGAGATTTCTCATCTTGTCACTAACAGGGGTCAAATCCTTCTGCCTGCAGGATCCAGTTGCATCACGACCTCGAAGTCCGTGTTTACCGCCAAAGAGGATGGCTTTGGTGTTGCCTATGCCAGGTTTTGGGGGGCACGGCTTTGAATGTGGAGCAGAAGTCGAACGTCGTCATTTTCACCCATGAAGGAGACAGGGAATCAAAAGACCATTTTGCTAGGCTTTTTGTATGCGGTCAGATCAGGCTCCCGGGGTGATTCAGACCCAGGGTAAAAGGCAGGTTAGTCCACAGCCGACGTGGATAAGGGTGTCGGATAACAGTAGATTAAGAATCGCGAACTCAGCCCTAGGCTCAATCCTCATACACCAACCGCGATCCGACATAGCTCGGTATGTTGGCGCAGCGCGGCCTCAACTGATCCCAGGCCTCTGTGGGGGCCAAGCAGCTTCATGGATGTTGTGAATCCGACAGGCTGTCGAATGATTATTCTGGCTGCTACGTAATAAACCTGTCTCAAAATTAGCAGCAGTTTGACTGTTTTCTGAGACAATTTGTAAGGCTGACCTTCGCACCAACTACGCCAACCGTTACATTCATATTTTCGCAACATAGCTTACCACAGTCCGAGTATTTCAAAACGTGGCCGGAGCCCTGCCATCTCAACTTGCATGCAGTGTACGCACGGCCCACAGCCTGGGTCAGTTACCAACCATGCCCGCATTTCATCTTAGCATCGCCCAATATCGATCCCCCCCCTGCGTAGCGGCCGCTCCTCGCGCCAGGGGCTTCAAACCTGTAGAGCTTTGCACGGTAGCACTGCCGGTACCTAAGAACCAATGGGGTATGTCGTAATATGCAAGACTGTCGTCTCTAGTTCCTTTAGGGGATGTGTCTCTTCATCCCTGCATACCTACTTTCTAATTTGTCTCTCCGTACTCGCACGAGATCGCGAGGACCCCAGAAATCGGAGCCTGTATTTCCAATTGAGTGGGACGGGGCAGACTGGTCTTCTGCAATAGTCAATCGTTGGCAAGGTGTCAAAGGATTGCAGATGCTGCGCCATGACAGGGGTCTACTGCAGTCCTGCCGCTTGTCGTTCATTGATATAACCGAGCTGGCCACCCTCCCAGAGACCACTGCATCATGTTCCTGTGAGATCTACTACAAGGGTTTGCGTCCTTCTCGTGTCGTGCGGATCGTATGCTTCATATTCTACGTCTACCTCTGGCCGACCATTCTCATTGATAAGCAGCCTTTGTCCTTCAAACTGCTCCAGGTGTGTTTATAATTTTACCCAGGTTGCCAAAAAGGCATTCAATGTCGTAAAGGAAAACCCAAACCAACAATGGCCACTCCAGGACCACCAAACTCCCCAAAGGGACATCTGGCCGAGCCAGCAAACGGCAATAACGCCTCCTCTCAGGCTTCGTCAGACGAATTTCGCGAGACGAAATACCCCCAAGGACTAATGCCGGCCGACTACGTAGGCCTAGAGGTGGCCAACAACCGGGATGACGGGCCCGAATACTATGTCCCGTATCAAGACAACATCAAAAACCCGTCGTCATACAACGCTCAGCCGCAGCATTTTCAGGAACAGCAACAGCCAGCATATGCAGGAGCTTACGGCGGTTCTCCACCCGCAGGAAATCAAGAGAAACGAATTTGTGGTGTTCGAACGACGACGTTCTGGGTGGCACTCGTCGCAGCAGTCTTCTTCCTGGGTACGATAGGCGCGTCAGCCGCCGCTGGAACGATAGCCCAGCAATACGCGGGATACGTCCAGGTCTGCGAAACGTAAGCACAATTCTTTAAACTTCCTGCGGGCCATTGTTAACACTTCTCCCAGTAAACTGGAACAATCAACACAAGGCTCCGGCTCAGCAGCAGTGTCTGGAGTAGCCGCATCATCAGCGACCTCAGGAACCTCGAGCACCACAACAACAACAACAACTTCTTCATCAGCATCAGCATCCGCATCAACATTCAACTCAATCCCTCTCCCGAAACAGGCGTCATCAATTCCAGGTGAAGCAACAACCAACTGCCCGAATCTGGCGTCAGATAACAAGACATACACTCCCCCAGGTAGCAACCTTCGCTTCGTCCGCGAATGCGGCAACAACTACCCACAAAATGACCTCGGTTATATTCCGATGACTACGATGGAAGACTGCCTCAACCTGTGCGCTGCTTTGAGCGTTACGACACAGAGTAGCAAGGGGAAGTGTATCGGTGTTGCGTGGGTCACGGCGGGAAAGCAGGGAACGGGAGAGAACTATTGCTGGCTTAAGAACGCAAAGGGCGCGGCAGACCCGAAAGACAATATCGAAGCCGCATGGTTAGATATGTCTTGATATTCGTGGAGGATTGTTTAGGCAAAGGGGTAATGACGCGCTGTGCTCTGTAAAGATAAGATGGGCCAAAATGAGTCTGGGCAAGGAGTGAGATGACTACTTATTATACCACTGCAATTGATTTTACGCTTACTACCTAACATCACATGTCCCTTTTGAACAATCTTATATTATACTCATTTTATGCTCTACGCACCGATGGCCTTATGCATGTACTTTCCGGTCACCCTCACTCGAAGACAAACATTCTTGTTTAATGACTTCATCAACTAATGACAACCAACCTCAGTTGCTTACAGATGAAGAAAGTATATGGAACGGGGAGGCTTGTTACTCTATACCTCAGCTTGATTTCCTTCGTCAGTTTACTGGCCTAACATGTGTCTGGTAAATGGCTTTTCCACTTCTGAATATGAAAACAAGCTGAATGCTGAAAGACTCAAACAGGGCAACCCCCGTCATAAGCTTGTAAATGTCTAAGTCGGTCCCCTATTTCCTAGTATATCACCACCACCCAGGATTGTGCCTGATAGTGTGACCTTCAGCAATCAAGTACTAATCCTTCATCCATCAATCAAGTCAACAGTTGGCTGAAGTTGGTCCATTAGGGCGAGCAATCACTCTCTCATTTCAACAATGCTGTTTGAGTGCCTGGTGATTTCATGCTCTGCCCCTCTTTCTGCTTGGGACGGAGACTCTTCTCTAAAATCTCGGGAGGAGAAATATCGAACACCAGGCACTTAAGGTCTTTGGAGGTCGCGAGCGTATCTTCATGCTCGTGCAGTCTGAAAGCGTAATAAACACAACGAAGCGGTGTCATAGTACCAATTAACAGCAGATAATTTGTTCTAACCGTAAACTTCCTGGTTTTGATCGCGGGTCTCGTGCTAGTCCAAGATGAAGATACTCATGTTGTCAATGTAAATATCAATGGTTGGCATTAAAACGACGCCCACATTTGCGGAGATTTTGAAAAAAAAAAAAAAAAAAAAACCTCTTGGGGATTTCCTGGCATCGTAGATGAAATGGGCTCGCTTGTGTGTAAGTTAGGAAAGTGGTTACTTGAATTTGTTCTATTGATCTCAACGTACTTATTGCCCATCCCGAATAAGTCAGATGTTGCTGTTAGAAGTCATTGGATGTTGCTGCTTAATGATGAGACACGAGCTGATTGTGATCGACTAAACGCAGCTTTTGTATTTCCAGTTCTTTACCTGATAAATGTTCCGGATCCAAAAGCATACACAATGCCGCCAAAGTTTACAGCGGTTGTGGCATCCATAGGAACCAACATCACTCACAGCACCGTTCATCCATCGACTTTTATCGATTTCTGCTACCACTGTCCAACACAAGCTACTCCTTCAGTTCTCGAAGCCACTCAAGTGGCTCGTCGCAGCCGATTTGGCGAGAATGGGAAGAGCGTTGTTACCTTCTCAATTCTCAGACATCTCATTCGGATAATCCGCCTCGAGCCAACAGGCCAGTAGCCGTCGCTGAATCTTTGAACAAGTCATTTATAGGGTTGATCAGGCCGCACAGATTGTTTTGGGAAATATGAGTTGTAAATTGAACTCTAAAGAGCGAGCTCGGAGTCTAGAACCACTTGAAAGAATAAGCTTTCCAGCATTCAGCTGATAGCACAATCCAGGCAGTTTTGTTAAAGTAGGCGAACCACGAGTATGAAATCTCGCTGAAACGGTGTAAATGAGATTCTTCGTCTCTTCCGTAGCTACATTACTTCGGTTTTTATTCCTCCAGACCACTTGGCGGTCCTCAATTTTACGGTCCGAATATGGGATACCTGTTTGAAGACGTCTTTAACAAATCTTGGCGTTTACTTCCACATGGCCTAGCTAGTGGTAGGCGCCTTTCCAAGACTAATACATGCCTCTGGGCTTCTGGTCTAAGCCCGAACCTGTGGGGCACTAAGTTCGTTCCTCGTTTAAGCTGTTCTCAATATTCTGGTCCAAGTCACTCGTTTCTCGTACCTCGTTTAAACTTCGCGCCCGCCGCTTGTGGCGTTGAGCCGAAGCACCAATCCAACCTCGTTCTGTCGTCTTGGAAACCCAATATAGGCAACATTACTGTCATTCTAGTGCCAATTCTCTCCACTTTGATCGAACTGATCGGCACAGTCCTTGTCCTGGCGCCGTAACCGTGTGCATAGCCACTGCCTCTCGAAGCCATACGCGGCTCGGTTTTGATGAGAGATTTTTCTTTAATAAGATCGGTCAGTGTCTATTTTATGGGCAAGCGATTCCCACGGGGTCACTCCTAGATGTCTTCTGAAACCCGAATCTGCCTTTCTTTTACATCACAGAGACGACCAAGCGCTCGTTGAGCAGTCCAGAACATCAGCCAACATGGAAACTCCAAACTCTCAAGGCCCCGGCGAGGGTTTCGACTTTAAGCTCTATCGATATACGCCTTCGTTACCAGCTGCCATCGTCACCGCTATTGTCTTCGCCATTTTGACTCTGCTCCATGTCTGGCGTCTTTACAAAGCACGCGCCTTTTATTTTACCGCTTTCACCGTTGGCGGGCTTTGTATGTCACCTTGAATCCTACCGTCAAATTATAAACTTGTTGCTCCTCGCTTGACAAAATGGAGGACTTTGAGCTAATTTACTTCGACTGGGCAGTTCAAGCGATTGGGTATTGCGGTCGAATCTGGGGTCACTTCGATAAATTTTCAATCGGCGGTTTCGTCATCCAGGCTATTTTGATTCTTGTCGCACCCGCCTTGTATGCCGCCTCGATCTACATGATACTAGGTCGCCTCATCCGAACTGTCAGAGGCGAACACCTATCACTGATTCCCGTGAACTGGGTGACCCGAATCTTCGTCACAGGAGATGTATTTGCTTTCACTCTGCAAGCCGGGGGAGGCGGTGTTCAAGCTGCAGGGACCTTGGATCTTTACAAGATTGGCGAGAAAATCATTATCGCAGGCCTTTTCGTCCAGATCGTTATTTTTGGATTCTTCGTCATTACTTCTCTGCTGTTCCACTACCGCTTACACAAGGAACCCACTCTCACAGCTGTCAGAGGTACGGTTCCTTGGAAACGCCACCTCTACGTACTCTACGTCACCAGCGCGATTATCTTGATTCGAAGCGTATTTCGAGTGGTGGAGTATTTGCAGGGAAACAACGGATATCTGATTTCCCATGAAATCTATATCTATATTTTTGACGCTCTGTTGATGGCTATGGTCATGGCAATCTTCCTGGTATGGTATGTTGAAGGGCTTGAGAATCCGCCGCGCGACAAGTCAGTCCAGGAGAGGGATACGCCAGGATCTAGTGATTATGTGTTGGAAGATAGGCAAGTATGATAATACTTGAGTCAGTGGTGTTGGTGTTTCTATGAGGGATGATCACGGCGAAGGCAGGTTAAAGATGTAGTGTGTAAGGTAATTGGAAGGTATTGCTGCGCTTTTAGAGGAACATGTTTTGCCAGAAGAGCAATACAAAAAATTCGGACCATCGGATCCCCCTTATCCGAACTCGCATTTCTCGGGTGGTAAAAGTTGAGAGGTAGCCACTAGTGTCTTAGCTGCCGCGTCTCTGATGTGCCCCACCTCTCGTTCCTGGGTCTCGTTCACTATTCGTTTATCGTACAGTTCACCATGCCGAAGTGGGACTACCACCCAATCGCGCAGCTCCAGAAGAACCAAACAACTGTGGAAAACGCCCAACGTTTACAGAACGGACATGCCGTATACTATCAGACTTATATTACTATCCCAGCACCTAACTTCTTTTATATGCATGTAATTAGAAACCGCTGGTTTGACCTCGACGCCACTAAACATACCGCTGTTTATCATTGTCAGAGACTTTGACAAGCGACACTCTGTCGAGCACTTTAAGGATCGCTGGCGTTGTGAGAACACTAGTGTTTACAATGGGGACGTCATTGACCTCGATAGCCACATGTCAAGGAGAGGTCTCTTGAAAACAAGCAAACAATTAGGATGAGGTATGCGAAAATAAACAATCGCCCTAGTGGCTTCTGTGTATTGATCTTATTGTCTTTCTCTACAGTATTAGAGGGAATGGTTCAACGTGACCATTTCCATGTTCCTTTCCAGAGTGTCCCAGCGAGCTTGCTCGAAGTTACTCTACCGCCAACACACAGCCTATCTTACTACCATATCTTAGGATGTGTGAATTGACCAGCTAATAACTCGAACCTGTTCGCTATTTCGACAAAGAGTGGACCATTTTAGAGCTTTTCAACGGGGACAGCAGGCTCAGAGGATCCAGGCAGTGTGGCAGCAACAGTAGCATCGGCAGCTGCAAGAGTAGCTGATAGTGTCGCAATCGCCTCGTCGCCAGGATTGGGGTATTCGTCATCCGCAGGCAAACGCCAGGTGCATGGCACTTCCTCGAAAGTCCACGTGTCGCAGGAAATGAGCTTAGCACAGGTGTCCATGTCGGGTTGAGAAACACCCATGCACCTCTTGTGCGACTGGTGACTGAATCGGAAGTGTCCTCGAACCCTGGACCAATCGACGCAAAATTCGACCATGCCTGGTACACTCGTGCCGTGGCAGCCGTCGTCGGCGTTTACTGAGTAGACACCAAAGTCGGTGACAAAAGCGCCAAAATTTCTGCAAAGAGCGCCACCATAGCATGTCCTTGTGACAACCAGCCTGTCTGCGGCAGCTGTGGACACAAGGCCCAGCGCGAGAACAACGGATGACAAGCTTAGATGCATAGCTGAAGAAGGCTATGTTAGTTTCAAGGTTGATAAGACTAGCCCCAGCGATAGTAAAAGCCAAACTTACTTCTGCTATTAAAGCTGATAAGGTTTGAAGAAATCTGAAAGGCTGTTCGACCACGTATGATTGGTGTGGATGGGACTGATTGAACGAGACACTTAAGACTGAAGCTGCCGATGATGAGGTAAAACTCACTGGCTTCACTGCGCGTCTTCCACCTCTTATATAGCCTGAGCTTCCCAAAAACTACATCTTGTAAGTCTCATTTACGTATTTGCAAACAAAAACACCAACCACCATATCTCCGTCATCTGACCTTATTCTCCACCCGGGCAAGTCTGGGGGGTTCTGCAGCCCACTGCATTGAGCGTTTCCTAGGCATGATGTGATGTGATGTAGGTTCGCCTTTTGGACCAGGGACATGAATCGGTGGCTTGGGTTTTCATCGCGATCAGTGTGATAAATCTTTCAAAAACAAGCCTACAACCTGAGGAAGTTCCATATCAAGTAGCAATAAGCCGAACCAGCAAGCCGGACAAATCCCAAAAAAGAGTCTTGGCTACTGCAGCCAAGGGGACTTTGGACGACAGCCATATCAAATAGGCATTTATACAGCTTGCACTTTGGTTGGCCTCCCACGCCGACATTTCCAGTGCGTGTCAAGCAATCTTGGCATACTCTACGGCAGTCCGCAGGGCGCACTGGGTCAAAATTCAAACATTGCTTAATTAGGATGTATAAACGAGATAAGCATATACTACCTATATAGATAGTTAAGCTTCTTATCTTTACTATGTAATTATTATAAATTTAAGCGAATTCTATGTTTCGTATACGTATATATATAGAGTTTTACGAGACCGTATAGGAGTATATTCTTAATTCTTAATAATAATATTTACTATATTTTATACGAATATGTTTTTAAGGTGCCTTAAGCAGGCTAACCTAGACTACTTCTTAGTAAAACTACTATAGAAGTAGAAGACGTATGTATTTTGTTTAATCGATTTATCCTAAGTATAAGAACTAGACAAAATCGACCTTATAAATACTAACGACTTCGAAACTCTAACAGCTACGATTTCATTACGTATACGACTTTCTAATACTATAACTAACCCGATCGAACAAGTATTTTATATACTAGATATATAGCTAGATAATAATCTCCTTACTATTCTTATTAAAGGCTTAAAGAGCGTATAGCTAGTATCTAGCAAACCTAGAAGAAACTAGTTCTAAACCTAACTATAGATATTATTATTTACTTATAGCTTATATCTTTCTATATTATAGATATAGATAGAATCTCTATTCGAATATATACTTAGGTTTAGTCTATTAAAAAGTTTATTAAGAAGTTATAGTTCTTATTAACTTCTAAGTTTACTTTATATATAGATATAATAAGTAAGGTCTTAGTAAAGTTTACGTCTAAGAAGTAATTCCTTAACCGAAACTAGAAGGCAATACCTATTATTTTAAAAAATCTTACGGATATATATAAGTTTCGTAAAGTAGCGTACGAAGCTAAAAACCTTTTTACTTTTCTTTATAAAGCCTTAATTACCTTTAATAAAGACGTTTATACTATCGTACTTATTTCTAAAAGTTAAGTAGATCTACTTATTACTAAACTATAAGTATTAAAGAAGTTACGACTAAAATAATATACGCTTAACATAGTAATAACTAGTATAATACCTTTACTTATTATTAATATATTTACGAAAGCGCTTACGCTTAAACCTCTAACTTAAATTTAAACTCGAACTAAACGAAAGCCTTCTTTTAAAATATAAGAAGTAATAAAGTAAGAAAGAAAAAGAATAAAGTTACGTAAGTATATATACTTATAAGTTAAGTAACAAGGCTATATAGACGTTATTTAGGAGGATATAACTCTTAAGGGGGGTAGCTAGGAAGATAAAAAAGAAGACGAAATAGTAGTATAATAAAAAGAAATAATCATTTAGGTATACTCTATATACTTAAGTTTTATCTATTTCTAAACTACTATTACTTCCTAATAGTAATATATAAAGTTTATCTATACTAATCCCGTAGCTATAGAACTATTCTTTTACTTATTTAATACCTCTATTTTGTTTTAATAGTAAATAAAGTTCTAGTTAAATCCTAGCCTTAATATATTCTTTAAGACGTTACTATAGGAAGTTATATACTTTAATACGTAAATATTATATACCGTAGAAGTTTATAACTAATAGAAAGGTTTATATAGGCTTTATAATACCTTTATAAACTTAAAAGACTTCGTACGGAAGGAATTAATCTAAATTAAGTTCTTTACTTCTAAGTAAGTTTTAAAGTTTTTAAATCTTTACGTAATCGATTAGCTAAGCAAAGTCTTATATAGTTTAATAATCTAGATAATAATAAAGTTTCTATAGTTAACTAGAAATAATATATAGGCGACTTTTTTATAAGTAAATACGATAGTTATTTTAAAGTTAAATAAAAGAAGTAAAGTCTTTACGGATAAGTAGTATAAAGATAAATAATAAGGCAACACGGTCAGAAAGCGATTGGTTATAAAATAAACCTAACGCTTGTAATCGATAGAAATATGCCTAATACTATTAGTAAATAAATAGATATAAAGGTAAATAATACGTACTTTCTAAGTTATAAACTATGCTTAATAAAGTTAGTTTTACTAGCTTTCAATCTTAATATTATAAATACTTTTACTAAAGATCTAATAGTTACGGAACTAATAGGAACGTCTTAGCCTAGCTATAAAGAAGCCTTCTTTATACGGTCTTGTAATAAATATTAATAACTATTAGTAGTTAAGATAGTTTCTATACTACGGTCTAAACGAATAGTTTATAGCATAATACCCCGTAATAGAAGTATAGATAGATATTAAGCTAATATAGAATAAGCCGTATATATAGAAAACCTAACGTAAAACTATATAATATAACGAGAGTATATATCAATGCTAGTATATATCTTAAACCTAAACGGAAGTAGTTTATTATATATATCGAGTAACTATATAAAGTTTAGACCTAGCATAGTCTAACCTTTCCGCCGGTATCGGATCTCTTTTAGTTAGTTTATAACTTCCTTAGGAAAAACTATACGATATGCTTTATATAAGACCGAGTAGCTAATAATATAGCTACGTATCAATGGTAGAATAGACGGAGTGAGGACGATAGGACTATATTGCTAAGGTAGGTCTAGGTAGGTGCTAACGCTGAAATCTGCCCCCCCTCTTACATCCCTCGACTCCCCTTTTTGTGCCTAGCTTGTACGCCGCCGACTCGCGGCGCCCGCGCTTATAACCCTAATATCTCCTTTTTACTCCCTGCCTTACTAATACCGAAAGTAGGCCCCGGCGCCGTACGCGGATCGCTTCCTGACATGACGCTCCCTCCCCGAGGCTCTCGTCTCGAAAGCCTTGCGTAGGCGCGCCGTCCGTACTAGTCGCCCCCCCTGCTTGTAAGTAGCGACTACGGTATTCTATACCCTCCTGCCTACGCCGGTTCCTTCCCTTTTCGCAATCCTTTTCCGTTACTACGTAACCCGCGATAATTTCGCTTGTAATCCTTTGCCTCTAATTAGTCTATTTATAACGCCGCCTAAGGCTACTACTAGCCTATAAGAATTATTTACTATTACGCCTACTTCTCGTTTGCTTTCTTCTTTCTCTTTTTTCTTCTTTTAATAATAATAATTTCTGTAAGTTAGGCGACCGCCGCCGCGCTGCTGAATTTCGGGTTACTAACTCTATAGGTTAGTAGGAGAAGCGCTGCTTATGCTTCTTTCTTCTATCGTTATCTCGTATATATCGCTTATTATCCCTGCTTACGCTACTTAGTCGGTTTTACTAATATCTAAGCATTTTAGTAACTTTAATTAATCTCTACGCTACGGTAAGGCTTATTCTACGCGATCGCTCCTATGCTTAAGGGTTGATAAGTTGCAGATGCCCCCTGCCGCCTCCGCGCCGCCTTCCCCTCCCCCCCCGGGTCGATCCTCCTGCAAGCGCCCCCCCCCCCTCTATACGTACTTACTACTCCCGCCGAGTTCTCGCGACCCCTGCTTACGCGCCGATAGCCTCCCCGGGCTCCTCCCGCCCTGAAGAAGAAGAAGGGCCGTAAGACGGCTGCTCGTAGTAACACGCGCCTTATGCCGTATCCTACCTACGTCTACCGTCTCTATCGTAACCCGGCGGTCGAGCTATACGCCGACTAGCTATATATACTGCTTGCCCCCTGCTTGCATAGCCCTACTGACTTGCTTAATAGATTCGGGTACTTGCTATGCCTAGTGCTCCGACGGGAGCTACTTTTACCCTCCCCCCGTAAGTATATTACCCTTTCTTTCCGTTCTGCTTATACGCTGCTTATATAGTGCTTAGATCGATAAAGATACCTTCCTACTCTATTAAAAGCTAGTAGCTGCTATAGCAGCCTTAAATAAGGCGATAGGCAACTCCTTTAAGAAGGAGTATACTACTATAAGTATTCTCCTTTCCCTCGGGTAAGTCGCTTATTAGTCGCTTTCGCGCTAAGCCTTTATAGATTAAGGCTACTTATACCCGTATCGCTAGCAATATAGGCCGTGCCTTGCGCGCCGGTCCTACTCCTACGCTGCGCGCTCCGGCCGCGGCTACTACGCCTACGCCGCCTGCCTCCGCCGTCCCTGCTACGCCCCGTCCCGCGCGCGCCGCCCCTGCCCCCGTATAAGTAACTTTCCTCGACTTTGCTTACGCAGAGCGTTACGTTACCTCTTTTAAGGTTATATCGTTAGCCTTCTAGGCTATATCTAACGCTATAGTCTCTATATATTCCCTACTTAGTCCCCCCTTAATAGTTACTCCTTTGCTAATGCCTTGTTAATAGTATCTTACTTCCTGCAAGCGCGCTCCCGAGTAAGAAGAAAAGGTTAAAAGTAAGTCTAAGGCTAACGCTAATAATAAGTCCGAGGCTAAATCTCCTCTCTCAGAGCTACC